CAGGAAGAAGATTAAGGAATCTAGATTCTTTGGGGACTAAATAGCTCATATATCTGGATGGAAAGGAAATAAAAATAAGAACAAGTTTAGTGATTGGGTGGTTGGGTTATATATATAGTGGGGATCGCGATTGATCTGATTATTATAATAAAAAATTAATATTATACAATATATGTTTATTATTATTAATTTAGCCAGAAAAGCAAATTGAACACTATCATTATGCTACATGAGCAATCAAAAGAATAATTAGTAGTATATTTTTTTTTTTACTTTTCAGCATTTGAAAATTACTTCTCCGCTCCTTAATTCTTACTAGGTATATTTTAGTCCAAGTTACATGTGTAAAAAACTGCTCTATCCTATTGTTTAGTTCTGGTAGCCCGTCATCCTTTCATTTCCTATGATCAATTGAAGCTCATAACAAAAATAAAAGTGAGTTTCTCTAACTACATTATGTTCTTTTATTATTTTCATTTTACTATATTTAAATCAACAACAACTCCACCACTCTGACCTAAAAAATATCATGCACATTTTTTTACACTTTTCATTTTTATTGCATCGAAGGTGTACACATAAGAAAGAACTAATTAGGTCATGTTTTAGAGCCAAAATTTGAAACGTTAACATGGTGATTTTACTTTTGTCAAAATGTACGGATTATTCTGATATTAATTTTGTTTTTGTTGTCCTATTGTTCTGAAGTTGCTTACTTATATTTGTTTATAAAGTGTTTATCTTTCTTATCTTAGTTTTATTTCGAGTTTCTTACTCTTTAAATGTGTATACGTATGTTTTCAGTTTTGATTTAGATATATATGTCGATTGTAGATAATAAAAAAGGTATATAGATGTAAACAAATTCTTGATTTCAAGCGAAATTAAATAAAATTGTCATAGAGAAATTTATTTACGTATATATGACATTTCAAATTGAAAATGTAATCAATTTATCCAATTTATTTACATATACTTTGATGTTTCAACAAAAATTTTGACTTTACAGGTGACTATCTGGAGTCAACTAGGATATTCTAAATACATTTAATTATAAATTACATATATTTTCCAAGTAGAGTTAGAAAGAAATTGGATTTTAGAGTTTAATTTGCAACACACGATGAAAAGAACGCAGACTAAATAGTCGCTTAGTATGAGAATTGTAAACCTATCTTTTATAATGAACTGATCAAATATTGAAGGTAATCATTGTTGGTTAGGACATTAATTCGATATGGTACATTTATATATGAGTTAAATAAAAATTCCCGATGGATAATCCAAACAAAAAATTGGAGATAATTTCTTGGAATAACAAACATAAATTGTAACATCTAATAAGGTCACTTATCCTTGCACCGCTACCTACATAGTGAGCAAGTTTAACTTCAAAGTTCTTACCAGAACTGTTCCATTTCACCTCAAAACGCGTCTTGACAGTTAAGGTTGGTTTCTTACTACTTATGAATATGGATCTCTTTCGTGTTTTATCGATGTGGGATTCGGCCAAGGTTTTACATACCCCCAACCCCCCTCAACGACTCAAAGTTCTCGTTGAGGTTTGCCTCACCATTTTTAAGAGGGACACCAAGAGGCTCTGATACCAGTTGTAACATTCCAACATTTTCTCGACAAGATATTGTTCATTTTAGACCTAGACCCTCACGAATTTTGTCTTGACGTACATATCAAGGTGACTTCTCATAAGGTCACTTATCCTTTCAGTGCTGCATAGCGAGCACGTTTAACTTTGGAGTTCTTACCAGAACTCTTCCATTGCACCCCAAAACGCATCTTGTCAGTTACAATCAGTTTCTTACCTATGAATCATGAATCTGTCACGCGCTTAGTTGATGTGAGATTCTCCTGAAGTGTCACATAAATCCAAAAGCCATACGTACTTCATATAATTATAACTCTCAATTAGGGGCATGACTTGTTCTTAGTGTGTCTTGGACATATATCAACAATTTTAGCTTTAACATCAAACATTTTTTGGGAAAAGACAAACATGTTACATGTGTTCACTACATAAGCAAACAATGTTATATTTACCACGTGACATAGGTTAAGTGTTAAAACCAAAGATGAAGGCAAGCATAAAAGATTTAGTGTGTTACTTTATAAACCTTCATTTCAAACCTAGGCTGCTAACATAAAAAAAAAAAATTTAAAAGGTGACATGTAGAAGAGCACGTCTACTATGCTATATAGCATCAGTGCTTTAATGTACAATTTAAAGTTGTACAATAACATTAAGTGTATAAGTTTAGGTTGTACCATAAAAGAATTTGTATCATTATGTTGTTGTATAACTTTACAACTTGAAGTTGTACCATAAAAGAATTTGTACAAAATATATAGGTACAATTTTAAGTTGTACCATAACGTTAGAGGTACAATTTCAAGTTGTATCATAAAGGCAAAAACCTATAGCACCAATGCTATATAGCATTGTAAAATTCCCCATATAGAAAGATCAAAGGAAATTAAATTTGGTTATGTCGAGGGAAAACTATATGGAATCATTGTTTTGTTGTAGGTGATAAGTTCTAGATTATAGTTGAGTCTCATAAATTAGAAACTTGCATCAAATACTCAGGCATTGCCTAGGCATTGACTGTATTAGATAAAAAAATTGCAGTTGATTTCTTGTAATGGAGAAATTCTAGGTTCAAAGTTTATACTACTTAAAAATTTCATAGTAGAAATATGAGTTTGACCCTAACTTAAGACATTTCGAAAAGCCAAGGACTTCAAGAATGATGCTAAAATGTCTCATATGTTTCTTTACATTTTTATCATTTATGTCCATCTACTATCTTGACATTCGACATACCTTATACTGTTATAAAAATTATCAAACACGACTTTCTGTTAAAATTTTCATTTAAAAACCGCCAGGCACGATCGAATCATTGGTTTGAGCGACACCAATATCTCAAATGCCTCTAATAATTTCACTTTAACAATTTCTTTTGTTTTTATTGTATAGCCCAAAACTCATAATAATTCACTAAGAAGAAGACTTGGAGAAATACTTTTTTTTTTTTTTGACAAAAGATAATATCATATTGATAACAAAAATAGTTACATCCTGGACAGCAGCCAGGCCTGATAATTAAAAGCACGATCCATGATCGGGTACAAAGAGAGGGCTTTCCTAGCCACAAGATGGGCTACCCTATTACTACGCCGACCTACAAACCGAACCATCAAACCCGAATGGGCGCGAAAATACTGCAAAACCTCTTCTAAAACAGCACCCACTCGATTGTCTCTGGCAGCCCCTTGATTGAGCTTGTCAATGATCACCTTTGCATCCCCTTCAAACACCACATTTGTGAAGCCATGCGCCAGGCACCATAAGATTGCCTCTCTAAGGACCAGAAGCTCCACCGTCATCGGATCACCCTGGAGAGGGACCTGAAAGCCCTTAGCCATGATGATCTGTCTATCCGGGGAAAACAGGACACATCCACCAGCTGAATGCGACCCTGGCCGAACCGCCCCATCCCACATACAAACCATCCTCCCAGCCACATCCATCCCTCTACCACCCCCTACCGGAACCGCCGGGTGAGTGACCTTGTCCAATGGCAAACGCATCCACTCCTCATATTGCTGATGAAACTGTCTCATTAAGGCAGGGAACCCAAACTGTTTACCTTCGAAGACCACCCAATTACGGGAGCGCCAAATCCGCCACAGGATAGCAACAACAGCCATGAACAGCCGTGGTTGGTGGAGCAAGGTCATCACCCTCTTGAGAAACAAAGGGAAAGTTTGCCGGGCCACCCCCTCCCCAATATGATCCAGCCCCGAATACACCCACAGAGCCCGCGCCACTGGACAGTCAAGGAACAGATGCTCCATCGTTTCCAAACTATCCCAGCAAAGACTTGGAGAAATACATTGAGGGGAAACTGGTATTTTCCCTCTTAAACCATCAGCTTTGTAAACCCACCCCCACTATAACCATAAACGATACTGTGGACGGTGGCTAGAAAGACGGAACGTCGGCAACGACAATTTTCCACTACAAAAAAGAGGAGGTTTGGGGACGACAAAAGTCGTCCCCGGAAATAGGAAAAATCGTCCCTATAATTTTTGGGGACGACTAAGTGGTCCCCAAAGAGTGGTTCCCTATACTCTTGTCCTCTATTTTTTTGGGGACGACAAAAATGTAGGTCGTCCCCATTGCTAGGGACGACAGTCGTCCCCGATACGCGCAAGTCACCGTCTCGTTTCTTGTCCATGAAGGACAATATGTCGTCCCCATAGTTATAACTTTAGCGACAACAAGTCGTCCCCATAGCTATAACTTTAGCGACAATAAGTTGTCCCCTTAACATCATTTCTAGGGACAAATTGTTGTCCCATATAATTGATTTCATAATTGCATTGGACCAATATGGGGATAATTTGTTGTCCCCTTTTCTTTTTATAAGATCGACGTGTCGTCCCTATAGGTGTCAAATTGGAGTCCAAAATTCGTCCCCAAAAGCTTTCTTCAAGGACTACGAGTGGTTTCCTATACTATATCTTTAGAGACGACAAGTTGTCACCTACGACTTTTAGGGACAAACAATTGTCCCTACACTTGTGTATTGGGGGACGAGGAGTTGTCACTTATACGCCTTTTGGGAACAACTAATTGCCCCCTATGTAACTCGTATGAATGACCTATTGTCCCTTAGCATATGTCTTTGGGGACGACTAATTGTTCCCTATATCACTTGTGGGGACGATCAATTGTTCCTTAAACTATATTTTTTGGGACGCCTAATTGTCACTTATTAACTGGTAGGGACGGCCAATCATCCCTTAACAAGTGTCTTCAGGGGCATCAATTTGTAACGTACATAACTTTTAGGGACGACCAATTGTCTTCAGCCTTTATCTTTGGGGACGAGAGATTGTCACATTTGTAATTTATGGGGACGATCATGTGTCCCTTCACCAATATCTTAGGAGGCGACAATATAGCAAAATGTCATAAAATCATCTCCATAAAAGTGCAATAAAACTAAACTACTACAATGTCATCTCATCCAACACTAGAAAAACCAACATTCATAGTTTGAAAGAATAACCATTCTCTCGTGAAACTAGAAAAATACTAAAAAATAATAGATAACAAGTTCTAAATCCATGAATTGTTCTATTATCTCTCTTAACAAAAGTACTAACACTTAACTATTCTTTCTACCGCACCATGCTTCCACCAACAAACTTCATTCTTCTCTTAGCTCCCTGAAAGTAAAATTAGACTTAGACAAAATTTAAAATTTAAATATATAGCAAGGATATAAATTGAATGAAATGGAGGCACATACTCAATTTGGAAAAGAAAAGCTATAAAATTCGTAACAATTTAAGGCTACGAAACAAATTAGTACTATACATATAGGATCACAAAAAGAATTAAAAAAACACGTTGAAATTGTAGCTTGTGAATTTGGAACTCAAACTACCATAAAAGAAGAGTAATGATTCCAATTTACTAGGTAAGTTAGCTAGCTTCTTTGAATCAAAAGAAGACTCTTGAGTACCTATTTTTCTTTCTTGAGTTCGAAACCTGCTTGCGTGGTGCACTTCGTTTCTTTTCTGCGCGTCTAGCCTGTAAAACGAATTTGAACGAGAATGTTAGTAATTTAAATATATTTAACCTTCAACCTTAGTACTAAATTTCATACCTTGTTAGAACATTCATCCCTTGTATAATCTTCTCCATCTGTCTCTTCCGAAGTGAGAGCATCCTCCATCTAATTTTATGAGTGTGTCAATTTGATTGTGATCTTGTAAATATAATGAAACAATTCATGTATGTAACAAGATAGAAAATTGACTACTTACATGTCCACTGCGAGAAGATGATTCATGCCTTTCATTTTCTACCATTTCCATAAATTTTTCGAACCTTTGGGTCAAGGCCAGATTGTGTTTGGCTTGATCTGCTAATCTTGCAGTTAGGTCACCAACTTGAGCCTCCAGTTGCTCTATCTTTCCATTTTGATTGTTTGTATTCATTCCCTTTGTAGTTGACTTGTACCCAGTTCCTTTTCCACGAACATAGCCAGAACGAGCACCAAAGACCACTCTCAAGACATCCTCATTATCATTAACAGTCTCATCCACAGGCATGACTTCTTCTTCTGTTCTTCTTATCTCATGCTAAAATGAATTAAAAATTACTACCATGTTATTTCAAGCATAGTTGGAAAAAAATTGGCAGATTAATTAGAACCAAAACACTTACATAATAATTCTCTGATGAACTATCAACCCACTTTCGCTCATTATTTGCATTCAAAGTACTATGTTGTGCCATCCAAACTTCCGATGCAGGTGGTAGTTTTCCAGTTTCCTCGTCAATCTAATGTCATACATGTAAACTTTAGTCTATAAGAAGCAACAAAAACATGAATTGGCATCCAACAAAATAAAATAAAAAAAACAACATTTACCATATCATATTCTGTTTGTGCGAATGGTGTTGGTCCAGTACAGGCAATGACCTTTTGATTTGAGCGATTGTTAGCATTTTTCAAGCTAAGAGCCTGCACATGAAGAGTTTAAATTGAACACACTTTTTACTGCTAAAATCCACAATAATAACAAGAATACTACCTTAAATTCCGGTGATGCAAAAAGTTGCAACATTTGTAGCCAATCTTCTGCAGATAATCCTTCAGGGATATGCTCCATCCGCTCTTCATCTGTTTCATACTTCTTGTACTTATCATGCAATCTTGACCTATATTTCCTGTAGCTGGCTCTCATTTCATTAAAACAATGCTCTCTAAATTTATATTTCTTCACTTCAAGCGGCTCTGGAGGAAGGGTGTTGTTCAAGTCCTCAATTTTCTTCAACTTAGGCGGGCTATCCGGACTCACTTGAAAGTAGTCCTAGTAAAAAGAATGCTCAAATTAATATGGAAATTTTCTTGTTGAAAAACATCACATGAAATAGAAACTATAGCTTCTTACCGTTGCCATACTCCATAACTGGTCACTATACTGTGGAAGTATAGTGAGGTAGTCATGGATCGGTGCCCCAATCACAGATCGAACACAAAATGCCAACCACATATTTAGTGATCTTTCATTCGGGCCAACAGGACGAAAATGTTTCTTGCCCGGCATAAAATATATGGGCAACTTCTCCTTCTTGGATTTTGTTTTCTTATCCAAGTCGATTCCTTTATATATGCCTCTACTGCCAACATGACCCTTGGAAGTGCCTCCTGGAAAAAATAATTTGAAAAGTTACAAATTTGCACATTCTATAACACCAATAGAATTACTCGGCAATCATAATACCTTGACCAGTTTCATGTACAGCAACTTCTTCCGTGAGTTCAGGACGAAGTGGGGGAGTCGATCCGCTACCTTTAAATTAAGTAGGTTGAACCAAAAGTAAACTATTACGTAAACTCATAATAGAACTCGAACACAGTTGTATCTAGGTAACACAGAATTTATTGTGCAGAAAATCAGAAAGTTCAAGAACAAAAGCTAAACCATAAAAAATGAAAGGCCTTGACTGGATGTAGTTTTTCTCGAATTCCCAGTTGTACCAAGTCCAATCTACTTTTGTAAGAATCTTTTGACTTTCCCTTGATATCCATTATGGTCCCTAGCACATTATCGCACACATTTTTCTCAATGTGCATGACGTCAAGGTTGTGGCGGATAAGGAGATTCTTCCAATAAGGCAGCTCAAAAAAATGCTTTTTTTCCTCAAATTTTCCCAACTATTAGTAGCATCATAGTTGACTGGATTTTCTTTCCTCCCAAAAGGTACTTGCGTGAAAGAGCAGCATTTCATAAGCACCTCATCTCCTGATAATGGATTTGGTTTTGCCCTGACCTCTCTTTCCCCATTGAATGCTGCAACATTCTTTCGCCATTTGTGATTAGGTGCCAACCACCTCCGGTGAGCCATGTAGCACAACTTATTCGACCCTTTCAAATACAGCGCGCTAGTGTCAGCATGACATGAAGGACAAGCCTTATAACCTTTCGTAGACCATCCCGAGAAATCAGCATAAGCTGGAAAGTCACTAATAGTCCATAGAATCGAAGCACGCAACTGAAAGTTCTTCTTGGAATGTGCATCGTACGTGCTAACTCCATCTTCCCATAAATCCTTCAAATCCTTGATCATAGGTTGCAAGAATACATCGATACCCATACCCGGGCTATGAGGACCATGTATTATCATTGACATGATAAAATATGGTTGTTTCATGCACAACCAAGGAGGCAGGTTATAGGGAATAAGAACCACTGGCCATATAATATGTTGGGAGCTCATGTTGCCAAAAGGTTGGAAGCCATCAGTTGCTGCACCCAGTCTAACGTTTCTAGGATCAGATGCAAAAGATGGGTATGTCTCATCAAATGACTTCCACGCAGGAGTATCAGCGGGATGTCGCATTATACCATCATCACTTCTGCCCTCCTTATGCCACCTCATCTCAGAAGCTGTTTTACTTGACATAAACAACCTCTGCAACCTAGGCTTCAATGGAAAATATCGTAATACCTTGTGTGGTTTTCCCTTCCCCTTGCTGTCTATAGATGCATATCTAGGCAATTTACAAACTGGGCACGATGTTGCATCTTTATGAGGACCCCAGTATAATGTGCAGCTCTTCTCGCAGACATCGTACTTCTCATAACCAAGGCCTAATTCAGAAATATACTTACGAGCACTACTGAACGACTCGGGCAAATTAACCTTGCCATCAGGAATTAAGACCCTCAAAATGTCAAGTAAGTCGTCGAATGACTTGTTAGTCCACTTGTGAATACTTTTAAGATGAAGCAGTTTCACAATTGTCGATAGTTTAGTGTACTCACAGTTCGGATACAATTTTTCCTTAGCCTCTTGGAGCAAGCGATAGAAGGCAGCAGCATCTTGATTAGGTTCTTCTGCAACCTCCTCTGTGTCCATACCAAAATCTTCTTCTTCACCTCTCCTGCCATAAATGTCATTTAACAATCCATCCATATCATCAAGAGTATCTTCAAGCATATGGTCTTCATTCAGTTCTTGGGTACTTGTCGAGTCCTGAGTATTACCCGCACCTTCTCCATGGAAGTTCCAAGTTGAATAATTCTCCAAAATCCCATTTTTTAGTAGATGATATTGAACCTCGGAACGACCTTTATATACAGCATTTCTGCACTTTGTACAAGGACAACGAATGGCTTCTTTGTTGGCTGAATGAGAAAACGCGTAATCAATGAAGTTATTTACGCCGTCCACGAATCCCGGTTCTCTCCTGTTCCGTATGCTCATCCATTCTTTGTTTGGAATCATTTTCTATAAAAGATATATAAACTATGAATTATGTCACAAAAATATATATAGATTAGATAATGAAAGAAACAGTAAAAAAAATTAATTGTGCGTACAGTTCTAGAATATGAGTAATTGAACTAAGCATTATACTAACAAAAAAAAAATTAATTCAACTAAGCTTTGGTGCGTGCAAATCACAGGGAAGGGGCTGAACTTTTTCATTAATGTAACGGATTGGGGAAGGGTTGATTTATTAGCAGTAATTAGGTTAAGCAATTTAGCGGAAAGTAAGCTAGAAAAAAAATAATTTCGCCAAGCAACCATGATTGTCAGTAAAAGTAAAAAAGAAACAAGAAGCATGAATGAATGAGGCTTTCAAAATCTCTAATTACAAGAAAATAGTTTACCGACAGTTGTAAAATATCCTGATGGTGTTGTGCTACAGCCTGCAGATTCCTTTATTTGAACTTCTTCCTTTGCTAGTTTCAAGATTTCTTGTATGAAAGTAAGTAGTAGAATCTGATGTTTAACGAAACCAAAACTCACATATTTATAATGTAACAATAACAATCTAATTAGGAAAAGGAACATGATAAAGTACTAATTCAAAAATAAAAAGGATACCAACAGCCATCACTTTAACAATTACACGTTCCAAGATTAAAAAGAAAAACTAAATGGAAAAGGACATGGGCCTCCAAAATTGAGAAGGAAAAGGTTAAACTTTAGTAGAGAGAAAATTTGAGAAGGAAAGGGAATTCAGTTAAACGTAGAGAAGGAAAAGGGCCTCCTACTTTTGGGGACCACAAAAAATCTCACCTAATCCGCTAGAGAGAATAATTCTGCCCCACCTAATTTAATATTTTCGTTGGAGTTTTTTTGGGACGAGTAAAGAATTAATAAATCACATCTCCTATTTTTTGGGGACAGTTTGGTTTGCTTGTCCCCCGTAAAACTTAAAATCTTATTTCCTGAGACAATATAACAAAGCCGTCCCCAATATTGGTGCCCAAAAATCTTCTTTTTTGTAGTGTTCGGCTACAGCCTATAGGTCACCACGGTGAGAGGGAAGGCTGTTGTTCGCTTCTTTTTCCTAGCAGAGGGCAAATAAGTAGGAAATTTGTAGGATTTTTTTTGGATTTTTATTGGGGATTGATATTCGTCGCCCTAAAAAGTGTTATTCATCGCCCTAATTCTTAATAATTTTATCCTAATGTCCCTAGTTTATTTTTTGTTTCACAAATACAAACCTTCAACAAATGACACAACCCACACCAAAGCACCTTTTCTCATCGCCGGAGTAGAAATAAATAGCCACAAAGTCAGAGAGATTGAGGGGAAAATGAAAGCAATTCAGTTTAATAATCTAATTTGTTTCACAATTAATTCTCTCTCTAAAACCCAACAAAAATAAACAGTCGCAGAGGGCTTGAGTTCAAGTCCTTAAGCCTCATTTCTTAAGGAAAATCTTAAAGTCTTCTCATTGGCTGATATTGGATTAGGTAGTTAATGGGGTTAGTAGTTAATAGATAGTTAAGGGTAAATAGGGTTATGCAAATATAATTAATATAATTAATTAATTATTCTCTTTCTCTCTCCTCCCAAGATTTTCTCCATAACCCTCTCCCTACATTATAATTAAAAATAAATATGAAATTAATTTTATTTAATATTTAATAAAATCTGAATTTAATAATTTTCTTTTTCTAAAATGGAAATATGAAATTTAAAATATATGCCTCTCTCACATCTTGACAACTTCCGATTAGTATCAAGTATTAAAATTTTGTAATGACATTATCAATATTTATAAATTGAATCATCATTAGGGCTTTTCATTGCATGGGTTTGAGATTTTTCGTTGTTACGTATTCGTTTGTGTTATTATTAATATTGTTCGACATGTTTTTTAATAATTTTATATGACATTATTAACTTTTTATGTTATGTTTTGTTTGTAACATTACCAAAAGTGAAATTGTGTTTTCAATTTGTTGGTACTTAAAGTTTATTTACTATTACATCGTATTATCAATTTGGCTCGCAATGATTTATAATCATTTGAAGTGCTATTATCAATTTTTTTTTCCAAGCACAATACAACCATTAGCAAAAATTTATTTCATTTGTAAGATTGGTTATGTTTAGTGATTTGAATTATTAATATTTTTTCATTTATGTTTGTAACTTTGTCAAATGTCATTATCAAGAAGCATACTTGTTAGATATTCGTTTGTTTATGACATTATCAAAAGTGAATTTACGTTTAATGATATAACTATGGTTATTAATCTTTCAGCCTAAGTTAGTAACGTAGTTGGTGTCATTATTAATAGGCGTGTATAAGCATTATCAATGTTTGAAAATAAGATATTAATAATATCTAATAAGGTACTTAACAATCATTAGTTGCTATCATTATCAAAGTTTTTGGATGCATTATCCATTCAACACATGTTACTTATTAGGGTGTGCCTGCGGTGACATGCGTGTCACGGTGACTTGCACTTTTCGGTCGACCTCAGTTAGGATTAGGTCGACCGAATTCTATACCTCACATAGGATCTGGTCGACCTCATTTAGAGTCGACCTCATTTAGGATTCAGTCTACCTTATATAGGATCAGGTCGACCTAATCTGTTGTTTCAGTGTAAAAACAGTTCATGGTGCCTACTTTGGATATTCATATCATACAATTGGCTAGATGGAAATTGAAGACTAATGACTTGTTTTGAACCTGGAGTGTCACTCTACATATTGAAGTGATTGAGAGCTCGATAGGAAGTCCATAAGACCATTTTTGAACCTCATTAAAAGGCTATGCCAAAACTGGGAAACTGCCTGGAAATGGCTAAGTCTAGAAACGTGTTTGTGAAGCCTATTTTGGAGCTCAATTCGAGAAGCATGAATGCGAGTCGAGTCCACGAGCCTCTACCGCGTTAAATTAGGTATGTTTTTCTACAAATTCAAGACATTGGATGAAAGATTGGATATCTGTAAGGCTTCAAACAAAAGGCTCGAAGTTGTTACGAAGGCTATTTTTCTTGCAGACTTCGAGCCCGGTCACAGAGCCAGAGAGATTGATGGAAAGATGAACTTCCAATATCTCTTCTTCTTCCCATTTCTTCTTTCCTTCTCGATCACCTTCACGGTGGCGCAAAGCTCGTCGGGATCCTCATTCTCCGTCGTTGAGCTCAACAGGACGTGGGAATCACTCACGTCGGACCCAACTATTTTCTCGTCGGCGTCAACTACAACGTCGAAGTCCCTGGATAGCTGACGGCGCCTCCGCTGTCGTCGACTCTGGCGAGGCTTTCCGCTTCACTCCCGCCGGGAGTCTCCTGCTAGTCAACGGTCCGACTCCACAATATGGGATTCCAATATGGCTAGGCTCCGCTCAAGCTCGGCCTTCATCGACGATTCTAGCAATTTGGTGCTCCTTAACGGGTTCCGACCCGTCTGGTCAAGCTTCACCAGCCTGACGGATTTATTCGTCGCTGACACAGAACTTCACCTCCGGCCAAACCTTAGCCGGTTAATTATACAACAGGCTGCACAAGGAGCAGCAGTGACGAATGAGGGTGGTGGGATCAGGTTGAGATGGAATAGATGTGGCGTTGAGCAGAATCCGCCAGAAGATGCGACGGGTAGTTTGTTGAGGATTTACGTTAGAAATGGAGGTTAGGGGGAAATGTGTCAATTTAGTTTAATTTAGAGCGATAAAATTTGAATTTTAGGGTGACGAATAGCAAATCAATTTCTATTTCATTTTTTTTTTTGGTAAATTGCAAGTTTGGTCACTTGAATTACTAGCAAAGTTCACGTTAGCCCTAGAATTACTTGATTCCATCCGTAGTCACTTAAATTAGTTCAACGATTCAAGTTTGGTCACTCTCCATTAGTCTCCGTTATATTTTGCTGATGTGACAGTCAACTCTGATGGTTGACCGTTAAATGAGTGACGTGACAAATAAAAAATAATTAAAATAAATATTTTACTAATTTCCACCTCCATTTAACAATAAATTAAAATAAAAAACCAATAAAGCAAAATAAAAAAACCCACTATTGCGTCTCAGCCTTTCCTCCCAGCAAACCACAACCCATATCGCTGCCGTCTCCACCAGCCAGCGACGGCTCCGCCATGTGAAGCAGAACAACAGAGTGGACATTAGAGGAGGTCGTGTTGGAGAAATTCACAACGACTGGTTCTTCCGGCCGTGGCGCCCGGACAATGAATTCTACGCGACTCCTTCTCTCGGGAACGAGAGCGACACCACCACCATTCCTTCCGGTGCCGCCGAATGGATTCAGATCTCGCCGCCTCGAAACGCGCTTTTGGAAGTTATAGATACGAGAGGGTCACCAACGGCGGGGAGAGGGAAATTGAAAATTTTAGTAACTGGTCTTTGGCGCCAATTCCAACTAGCGAAGTCATAGAAATTTTCAATTTCCCTATTTTCTTTCTCAACAGTTCGAAATCTGTTGCACTTCTCACGATTTCTCTCCGTTCTAGCTACATACCTAACTGGCGACCATCGGATCTGATGGCCCCGGCTACCGCGAGCTCGACAGACGCTTATGATCGATATCCGTCGATTTCCGCCGGTGATGCGGAGCTTCTGAAGCAGGAATGGAGAAACGAGAAGGCTGCTCCAGAGTTTTCATCGTCAGTTCCACTGACTTGACTTAATTTCCATTTACTTTCTTCAAGTTTGGAAACCTAAAATCGGTATGGATTTCCACTTATGGCGGTTTCCAGTTATGGATTCAGTTTTCTCATTGAAGCGTAGGCAGCATTCGATTCGATTCACTGGCGATTGAATTCGTCAGATGTGCAAGTTAGAGTGTCAAGAAAATCAATGGAGAAACCATGATTTTCTACGGATGCAGCGTATTTTACTTTTCGATTAAGAACTAGATTTTGTGTTATGTTGCAGATGACAAATCTATTTGTTTCATCTCGCTAGTTGGAATTGGTCACCAATTGGCGCCGGTCCTTCTTGGCTGAGAATGAGTTTTATTTATTATTTAATTTATTATTAAACTGGAACGGTATCGTCCCAACTGAAGACTCCAAAGATGGCCAAGACGTCGTCGTAGCTGGCAACCAAGACTGACGAAGATCAAAACGTCGCCGTTGTGTCCTGAAGCCACAACGTCTCTTTCATTTGCTCAGCTTATGTTCCCTCCTTGTTCTGCACTTCTGTACTTCTTCTCTGTCAAGTTACAGCTAGAGTTTCTTGTCCTGTAATGCACGAACTATGTATATAAGATCAAAATGAATCAATGAGAAAGTAAGTTAGGGTTTCCAAAGCATACATGTCGTTAGCATCCCTAGCTACCTGTGTCAACTGTTTACCATACATATATGGGTAATTGAGCACTCGATCGATCACTTACGATGGTGGTAGAAAGAGGCTACGTCCTCGACATGTGCAAGCTGAAGATCATGAGAACATACTGGTTTTCCTTCCGGACGTCGGCCACTGTGATGTAGGTGAAGCAGAAGCTTGCCCCGTACCTGAAGCTGGATGACCCA